TTTAAAATTTTCTTTTTTAATGTATGCATTTAGTGCTATAAATTTTCTCAGCAATGCTGTAGCTATGTCTGACAAATTTTAATATGTAGTATTTTTATCTCCATTCAGTTCAATGGTATGTTTTTTAATTTCCCTTGAGACTTCCTCTTTGACACTTGGATTATTTAAAAGTGCAATTTTAGTTTTCAAGTGTTTAAAGAGCTTCCTATTTCTATTATCGATGTCTACTATGATACTATTATTGTCAGAGAACACATTTGGCATTATTTTCATCCATTTAAACTTGTTAAGTTTATGAGGCAGGATATGGTTTTGGCATATGGTGTGTGGGTTTTGCAATACTGTATATTCTGCTATTGTTGGGTGTTCTGTAAGTATTGATTAGACCTTGTTGATTGATGGTGTTGTTGAGTTTTCCTATATCCTTGCTGATTTTGTCGTTATTTTATAAATTATTGAAAGATGTTTACATCTCCAACTATAATTGTGTTGTCTATTCTGCCTTTCAGTTTTATCAGTTTTACTTCATATATTTTGCAGCTCTGTTATTTGTTGCACACCTACTTAGAATTGCTATGTCCTTTTTGTAGATTTTCCCTTTTACCATTATGTAATGAACTTCTCTGTCTCTGGTTATTTTCTTTGCTAAGTCTGCTTATCTGATGCTAGTGTAGTCACTTCTACTTTGTTTTGATTAGTGTGTGCATGAAATATCTTTTTCTATCCTTTTACTTTTTACTTGACTATATGTTTCTGTTTTGAGTTTCTTATAGACAGAATATGGTTGGGTCATTTTTTTACTCACTCTGCAATCCTGCAGAAATAACCATGTAATTATTAATGTATTAGGGTTTAAGTCTGCTGGGCTTTTTTGTTTGTCCTCTCTTTCATTTCTCTTTTTTTCCCCTGCCTTCCTATGGGTTACTTGAATCTTTTTAAAGAATTCCATTGTGATTTATCAGTAATACTTTTGAATATATCTCTTTGTATAGATTTTTAGTTGTTGCTCTAGGTATTACACTATATCATTACTTATTACAGTCCACATTTCATCATTTCACTAGTTCAAATGAAATATAGAAAGTTTACCTCCTTTTATGTGCCTTTGCCTTTCTTCATGAAATGCTTTCTCAATATACATTTAGAACCACATCAGATAGTCTTATACTTACTTCCAACTGTTGAACACCATTTAGAAAATTCAAGAAGGAAAGCTTGCTTTATTTGTCCAATTTTATGCTTACCATACTCCGTCTTCTTTCCTGGTGTTCCTAGTGCTTTCTTTTACATTTCCTTTATGTTTAGAGAACGTCTTACAGCCATTCTCTTAGGCTAGGTCTGCTAGTGACATATTACAGTATTAGTTTTCTTCCATCTGAGAAAGTCTAGGTTTCTCCTTCATATCTTTTCTCTGGGCATTGGTTTCTGGGTGGACAGTTCTTTTCATTTATCACCTTAGAAATATTATGCCATTTTCTTCGGTCCTCCATGGTTTCTGATGAGAAATTGATGGCTTTTTTATGGTTTTTAAAATTGATTTTTAGAGAGAGGGAGGGAGAGGAATAGAGAGATAGAAGAGAGAAACATCATTGATTGGCTTCTTCCTGCATGTCCCCTGTTAGGGATCAAGCGTGCAACCCGGGACGGGGAATTGAACAGTGATCTCTTGGTTCCTGGGTCAACATTCAATGGCTGAACCATGCTGACCAGGTGAAATTGATGCCATTTTATTTATTTATTTATTTATTTAAATTGATGCCATTTTTATTGTTTTCTTCTGCTCTTAGATTTTTTTCTGTATCTTTAATTTTCATATTTCTTGGTATGAATTTCTTTGAGTATAACCTATTGAGAGTTAGCTCAGCTTCTTGAATCTAGAGTTATATCTCTTGCCAAATTTGGGGAGTTTTCAGGCTTTACTTTTAGCTCCACCCTCTTTCTCTTCTCCTCTCAGACTCCAATGGTACTTTTAAAATATTTGGTCATGGTCCCACAGACCTATGAGGCTTCGTTCATTTTTTTTTTTTAGTCTATTTCCTCTAAATTACTCAGATTGGGTAATTTCTATGGTTCTATATTCCAGTTCACGGATTCTTTCCTCTGTCCCTCCATTCTGCTGTTGAGCCCATTCACTGAGCTTTTCATAGTGGTTATTACATTTTTCAGTTCTAAAATTTCTATTAGGTTTTTTTTTAAATCTTCTATTTTTTTCAAAGACTTCCTATTTCTCTTCTGAGTATTTCTATCTTTTTCATTTGTTTCCAGCATGTTTTACAATTGCTCATTGAAGCATTTTTTTTTTATCATGGCTTCTCTAAAAACTTTGTCTAATAACTCTAACATACCTCTCACTTTAGTATTAATGTACTGATTGTCTTTTTAAATTCACTTTCAGGTCTTCCAGTTCTTGATATGATGAGTGATTTTTCAAGTGAAACCTGGACTTTTAGTATTACATTTTTAAACCTGGATCTTACTTAAACCGTCTCTTTTAGCTGTTTTTTTTTTTTTATAGCACTCCAACAGAGGAACAGGAAGGGCACTGCCTCATTATTGCCAGGTGGAGATAGAAGTATAGGTTCCCCACTCAGCCTCCATACCTGAGGGGAGAGCTCCTCTTTACTGCTGAGGGGGAATGGGAGTTCTGGTTCCTTGCTGTTCTCCACTGATAGCACAGTGGTGTAGACTCATTACCACTAGTATATATATAGTGTTCAGTGAAAAGTCTTGACCGACACTATGTCCCTATGACACCATCCTGGTGGGGAATAGAGGAGCACCTTGTTACTACCAGATTGGGGCAGAAGTCTAGATTTTCCATGTGCTCTCCACTAAAACCACATGGTGGAAGAGGGAGCTCATTACCAGGGGGCATAAAAGTCCTAGCTCCCTACTGGATCTTTTCTGACACCACCTAGCTAGGGTATTGGGGGCACCTAATTTTCAGCTTTATGAGAGTATAAGTCTAGGTTCCCCACTTAGATTGAAGGTGGATGGGACCGCAGTTTCTTTCTATGACATTTGGCTGGAGTGGAGCAGTTGCTGTCTAAAAGTTTTCTGTCTTTCTAGACCGCCCCTTTCCTGGTCTTTTGGTTAGAGACAGCAGATTTTTGTTGGACTTTTTGGTTTGCACCATTAGGGTTTCCAGGTTGCTGGCTTCTTCAGCCTCAAATCTGGGACATATAAGCAAAAAGAAAACCCGAGGACCTCCCCACTGTGTAATTTCTCAGGTCTCAAATTTCCTTCTCTCCACCTTTCAGTCTCTCCTGTTTGTTTTCTATATAATGTCTAAGATTTGTAGCTTCACTTAGTGAGAGGAAGAGGAAAAACTATGTCTATTTCATCTTCTTGGAGATACAATTTCTGTTTTAAATCCTTTTGATTTCTAATGACTGCATTTAAGATTATACAGTAGTCCCCTTATCCATGGTTTCATGTTCTGTGGTTTCAGTGACCCAAGGTCAACCACAGTCTGAAAATATTAAATGAAAATTCCCAGAAACAAACAATGAGTTTTCAATTTCATACCATTCTGAATAGCACAATGAAATCTCGTGCCATCCCACTCTGTCCCACTCAAGATGGGAACCATCCCTTTGTCCAGCATGTCCACATTGTGTTGCCACCTGCCCAATAGGCACTTATTAGCCACCTCTATAACATACCAACTATATCAGAGTATCACAGTACTTGCTTTAAGAAATCATTATTTCACATAACTTTTATTACAGTATATTGTTACAATTGCTCCATTTTAATATTAGTTATTGCTGTTAATCTCTTTCTGTGACAATTTATAAAGTGTATCATAAGTATGTATGCATAGAGAAAAGCATAGTATATATAGTGTGCAGTACTATCTGAGGTTTCAGGTACCACTGGGGGTCTTGGATAAGCACAGACTACTGTATCTCAGTAAGCACTATGTCAGTTAAATCCCACAAGTTTTGATATTTGGTATTTACTATTGATTCTAAATGTTTTACAGTTTTTATTATTTTTTTAATTTTTCCTATGAATTATTCATAAGCATGTCTTAATTTTTCCTAATCGATTCTTTTTTTATCTTTTCGTTATTGATTTCTAATGTTGATGGTTGTATTCTGATCAGAACACGTGGTCCGTATGCTACTGATAATACTGTGTAGTTAGAAATTGTAGCAGTATGAATAAGGAACCCATCCATCCATTTACTCAGTCATTCATTCAACAAACACTTTTTTAGCTCTTTTATGTTCCAGATATTTCTAGGCAGTAGAAGTTCTGAAATAAATAAGATCCAGGCCAGATTTCAAAAATTGCCTCCTCTAGCAAGGGAGGCAAGTTAACAACAGTATGGTGAGTATACAGAAGTATGGCGAGTATACAGAAGTATAGATAGGGTTGCCAAGTAAAATACAAGATGCCCATTAAAATTTTTGAATTTCAGATAAACAATGAATAATTTATTTAGTATAAGTATGTCCCAATTTTGTTTTTTTGTTTTATTTTAAATCTGGCAAACCCTAAAGACAAGAATACAAAAGAAAAGCTCCTAACTCAGCTTAGGAGATGAGGGCTGCAAAGTTTAGTCATATAGCAATAGGTCTTTGATATAAACTCGCTAAAACTAGTAGGTCAGAACCAGAGCAGGTAGCTCTCAAAGTATACCATGTTATACCTAGATTAAAAAGGTAAGGTGTGCCCTAACCGGTTTGGCTCAGTGGATAGAGCGTCGGCTGCGGACTCAAGGGTCCCAGGTTCAATTCCGGTCAACCTTGGTTGCGGGCACATCCCTAGTAGGAGGTGTGCAGGAGGCAGATCATCAATGTTTCTCTCTCATCAATGTTTCTAACTCTCTATCCCTCTCCCTTCCTCTCTGTAAAAAATCAATAAAATATATTTAAAAAAAAAAAAAAAAGCTAAGGTGTCCATCTGTCCCAACAACAGCTACTATACACCTCAGAATCTCCTCATAACATACTCATCTAATTAACATTTTTACAGCCACAAAGACTTACAGAACACAGGCTTGTGGGCGAGGTCATCTAAAGTGATTCCTCCTTCAGGATTGAACTCAAAACTGCTAGTGAAGTTGTATTTTGCAGTTCCTTCTGAAGAAACAGTAATTTTTGCAGAGTCTCCCAGAACTGCCTGATTAAATTCTGCACGAATAAAGGTAACTGGGGTATCTCCTTTAGAACCTTTCTGTTGACAGAAACATATACTTTACAATTATACTCAAATAGAGAATTTTTCTACACATCTGGCAACCCATTTTTACTTGTACTAAATAGCATTTTCCATATTCCCGTATCAAGCTATATTACAAATACAAAAGAAGTAGGTAGGAAGTCATTAAACAAATCTAACTGTAGTATTTAAATGCCAACATTGTATTTAAATGCCATTATGTTGAAGTTTAAAAAAAAATAACACTCATTATGTTTATAAAATTATATTGTAGAACATGTGGAAAAGTGAGAAAAGCGCATAAAAAATAAATTACCTGTAATCTCTAATATGCAAGCACCATTAACATTTTCAAATATTTTTCTAGTGTTTTGTTGTGCATACGTATGTGTATTTCCCTGTGTGTGTGTATATATGCACACATATTTATGTATACCTTTTAAAACAATGTAGAGGACATATATTACATCCTGCTTGGAAAGAGCTTTTTTACTTAATACTGAGTGAATATTTTGCCATTTCATTAGTATTATAATTTTTAGTAGTTATATCATATTGTAGTTTTATTATTTAAATTCATCAAAAGAAATTAACCATAAAGGAAACTCTGGAAGACTTCAGATCCTTTTCAGGAAAAGGGAATGAATTGCTGTCTAGGAAAACAAAAACGACTTCTTATTTTACCTGTTAAATTTAATTTTCAAATTGCCAGGCATTTTATACACACAGTAATCTGAACTGCTGATTCTGGACTATCCATGAGCAACAACGAGAAGGAAGGGCCATTGCTATGTAAAGCCAGTAGATTTGGTGGTACAGGATGATGCAAAACTCCATTCCTTCCCGTGTGCTCCCAACACAGCTTCCCCAACCCACAGATTTTTGACAGAGAGATCTGAGCTCAAAGACAAGTATACTTTCGAGAAGTATGAATAAACTAGGGATTTCTCAGATTTCCAAAAATAACTTTACTGCCCTAACCGGTTTGGCTCAGTGGATAGAGCGTTGGCCTGCGGACTGAAGGGTCCCAGGTTCGATTCTGACCAAGGGCATGTACCTTGGTTGCGGGCACATCCCTAGTAGGAGGTGTGCAGGAGGCAGCTGATCAATGTTTCTCTCTCATCGGTGTTTCTAACTCTCTATCCCTCTCCCTTCCTCTCTGTGAAAAGTCAATAAAATATATTTGAAGAAAAATAACTTTACCAATTCATATCCACCTATCACAGTGATCTGCACAGGCTTTCCTGCTGATGCGATCTGCTCCATATCAGCACTTGAACAAAGTCCCTCAGGTCTTCTTTGGTCCCTGCAAACATAATGAATGAACCTGTCCCCTCATGTCCCGACGCTGCATAAGTACTCACATTACTCATAACCAACACCAGGGGAGAACTTAGGGAATTACAATAGTCCAGCACTGTTTTGTGGCCTTTCCAACCTTTGCTGCTAGACAGGCAGGGCTTTAGGAAGCTGGTCACAAGGATGATTCCACTGATTAGTGCTAAAAAGATCCTAATACATGTAACTTACCCATGAAGCACAAATTATCACAAGACAGAGAGGGTAGAATGCCATCTCCCCAACTCCCATTCCCCAAATCCTCCATAGTGCTCTTTGGTAGCTTTTATTTTAATGTGCAAAACTACACTCGAAGGTTATTTAATCTCTCAGATAGATAGATAGATAGATAGATAGATAGAGATAGATAGATAGATAGATAGATATGGAAAAAAGCAGACACAGCGAATGGTTAGTCCACTGGAAAAAGTCCTGACATATGTCTTATTTAGTCAAAGATGTTTTCTAATTATTTTACAACACCAAGGACACCATTTCAAAAATAAATTGGATATCTGTGTGTTTTTTAAGGTCATGTTTTCTGACTCAATTCAAAATAGAACTTAATGCAATTCAAACGTTTACTTAGGATATACTACGCTAATTGTGTCTAGTACTGGTGGTACAAAATAATGAGATACCTTCCTGCTGCCTCAGACTTTAAAATTATTCTGCCTCTTCACAGCTCCGCCTTCATTTTCCCATTCACCTAAAAGTCTCATATCACTTGTTCAACACCATGTCTCCAGGCCTAAGTGGCCCTGACAACCTAGCACGGTTTACATTTGAAATGACCTTTTGCATTCGTTTTCTTCTTTCCTTTTCAAGAGCACCACATGAATTAGGTCTTTACTAGCCTGACCCTGGACAAATGCCTAATTTCTCTGAGCCGCAGTTTCACCTTCTGTAAAATGGATAATAAAATTTCTGACCTGTTTCACCTTTGTCGTGAATAGCCACTGTAATAGTAAACGTGTTTAACCTATGAAGCAAAGCACAAATGGCATTATTAATATTCACCGCTTTTCTGAACGCTCAGTTACCCCCTTAAAGACAAGCAGTCGCCCTAGCTGGTGTGGCTCAGTGGACAGAGCCTCCGCCTGCGGACTGAGGGGTGTCCCGGTTGGGTTCCCGTCAAGGGCATGTACCTCGGTTGTAGGCTCAATCCCTGGCCCTGGTCAGGGCGTGTGGGGGAGGCAACCAATCGCTGTGTCTCTCTCACATCAATGTTTCTCTCTCTGTGTGTATCTCCCCCCTCCTTCCCGCTCTCTGTAAAAAAATCAATGGAAAAATATCCTTGGGTGAGGATTAACAAAAAATAAAAATAAAAAACAAGTAATCTGTCATTCATATTCACAGCCTCTCAGGGCCTGGCACCACGCCTGTTCTGCAAGAGGCATTAGCGGCATATTGTTGAGTAACGAATGCAAGAAATAGGGCTCATTGCAAGTTATGGTCAGGGCCATCAGGCGGGGACTCCTAGCGCCCACACCCGGCGCGCATTCCTTGTCATCTGCTCAGAAGAAGGCGCAGGAGAAGCGTCCCTTAGGAACCAGTTAGAATCTGTCAGATGAAGGAGCCGACGGGAGGAGTGTGGTCTGCGGCGGGGCGCCGTCTGCGCAAAGCCCAGGGGTCTCTGTCCCGCTTTGGGTGGGAGGCCTGGGCTTGGCGGGGCGTCGCTTTAGCGGGGTCGGTGGCGTTTGGGTGCGTTTGGGGGGTGCAGCCGCGCAGGGATGCGCTTCAGCTCAGCCACTGCTGAGAGCGGAGACTGCGGTAACGGGGTGTGGCCACAGGGCGGGGTGGGGAGCCCGGGAAGAAGGGGTTTTCTGAGGAGACAGCTGTCTTACCTGCGACAGCCACGGCTGTGTTTTCGCAACTATAGCAACCAATGACCTCTCGCGAGAACTTAGTTTCTGCAGTTACCAGACGTTTCCCCCCCAAGACTCGCGATAACGTTTGGGGGCAGAACCGGCCCGGTGGGAATGTGAGTTTCTGCGCCTGCGCGCCGGAACGCGTGCTGATTGGCCCCCGCAGTCCTGTCTCCACGGCGGCACTTTCCCTCGGCAGAAGTTAGGGTTCGGTGCAAGGTTTTCCGCCTTTTAATTTTGCTTTCTCAGCTCTTGTCTTTCACTACCCCCACGTAAATAGAAGGGATAGAAAAGGAAATTTATGTAAAGATAAAACCTTTATTAAATGTTTGTGAAAACAGGTCATTTAAATCTTTCTCCGTGAAAAACTCAGCTAAGACAGTATTTTAAAAGCGAGCCTGACTCTCAGAGTGCAAAACGCTGCTTCTAGTGCTTAGTATTTACACAATACACAGCCTTGAAGTACATGATGTTATGAAAGATTTCAAGACAGTTCAAGTGTAACATTAGAGTTGAAATAGCAAAACACAATAGCAAACACCTGGGAAGAACCCAAGTGCCCATCAGCAGAAGAGTGGATGAAGAAACACATATATTCACAAAATAGCATCTTACACAGCAGTCTCAGCACGGAGGCACCTTAGCAGGATACATACATTAAAATGTTGCAATCTTAACAGCCAGCTGGAAGGGGCTCCACAAGCCAAACCTGAGCATCAGAATAAGCAGTGATAAGAACGAATGACAATCCATTAAGTAAAATAAGAATACACAAGTTCACATTGATCTAAATAAATGGAAAGGACAGCTCTAACCGTAGGATGCCACTCAATAATGAAGAGGAAATGGTGGAAATAGAGAATTACCATTTGGCACCCACTGTAAAGGTGTTAATGATTCAAGCAGAAATCTTCAATTGTTGATCGGTGGAGGTTTGATGAGGGATAGGATAGTAGCATGATTTTTGAAATACTAATCAATCACAAAGGGGAAAACTAGATAGTTGAAGAAACCAACATGATCAGGTTATCAAGGTTAACATCACCAATGTCGGGAGGAGTCTGATGAGACTCACAGAGAAAAGGCGAAGCATCATTTTTAGGTTTTCCTGCCATGAGGGACCCAAATTTGTAGGCCATCCTATAGAACAGTGATGGCAAACCTTTTGAGCTCAGCATGTCAGCATTTTGAAAAACCCTAACTTAACTCTGGTGCCGTGTCACATATAGAAATGTTTTGATATTTGCAACCATAGTAAAACAAAGATTTATATTTTTGATATTTATTTTATATATTTAAGTGCCATTTAACAAAGAAAAATCAACCAAAAAAATGAGTTCGCGTGTCACCTCTGACATGCGTGTCATAGGTTCGCCATCACTGCTATAGAAAGTAAGGCCTATACTCTTTTTTTTTTCAGTTTTAAATTTTATTACTTCGTAAAAATCTTTCCTTTTTCTGTTCCTTTCCTCCATTTGACATCAGTAAAAGTTTGAAACATCACGAAATTGATTTGGCTGTAAATGGAGAAATGGTACCAGGGACCCAAACAAAGTGAAATGGAAAAACCCAAAGGACAAAACAGAAAACCCTTAAATACACCCAAAGTTTGGTCTCGGGGGCTCACACATCACACAAGAACCGTCAATGCAACCCCCATGTAATGTGACCCCTTGCAGAGCTGTCGGACCCACACCGACACAGGAGCCCGCAAACAACATCTTTCGTTAATTAACACAGCAAGGGTGACACTAGGTAACTTTTTTTTTTTTTTTAAATACAGAACATGGTACACAGGGTCCCAAGATGGCCCTGTATAAACCCCTCGTGGAGACTTGAGCCAAGCACTGGCTGTTTATAAAAATATTGTGTTGCTACAAAAGTATAAATTAATGCTCCCGGTATTAAGAAATATTAAACACATAAAACTTATAAGGATTAAGAAAAATATTCATTAATACCTGTAGAAAACTCTGAAGGCCTGTACTCTTTAACACTGTCAAGGATATGAAAGACTTGGAACTGCTCCAGACTAAAGGAGTCTCAAAATACATGACAACTAAATGCAATATATATTCTCCTAGAGCATTTTGGATGAGAAGTGAAAAGGGACATTGTTGGGACGGTGGGGGAAATGTGAATGGGCTTCGTGGACTGGATGGTAGTGTTGTGCCAATATTGATTTCCTGATGTGGAAGGTCATTGACTGTCATGTAGGAGAGTGACCCTGTTTGGGGGAAAATACACATGGGAGTGATTAGGAGTGACAGGACACCATGTCTGCTGTGGGCTCTGTTAACCCTCCAAAGGTCCAGAGAAAGGCTCACAACAAGAGTTATGCACACGTACACACATACAGAGTGAGCAATGAACCAGTAAAATGTTAACTACTTCAAAACCTGGGTGAATAGGGACATGGGAGTTCTTTACACTGTTTTGGGCACTTTTCTATACATTTGAAATTACTTTAAAACAAAATTTTAAACTATACATACCGCTCTGTGGTAAGTGAATTCTAAAATTAATATGGAGATGCAAGGGACCCAGAATAGCCAACACAATCTTGAAAATGAACGTAGTTGGAAAACACACACTTCCCAATTTCTAACTTATTATAAAGCTCCTGTTATCAAGTAATCTAGTACAGAAATCAAGGTCTAAGGATAAAAATATAAATGGAATCAAACTGAGAGTTCAGAAATAAACCTTTATATTTATGGTTGGTTTTTGGCATAATGGTGTCAAGACAATTCAATGGGGAAAGAATAGTCTTTTCAATAATGCTGGGACAACTGGATATAGAAATGCAAAAGAAAGAAGATAACACCTACCTCACACCACGTATAAATATTAACTAAAATGTCAACGACTTCAATATAAGAACCAAAGCTATAAAAGTTTTGAAAAAAACATAAGGGTAAATCATCCTGAGCTTGGCAATGGTTTCTTAGACACAACCCCCAAAAATACAAGTAACAAAAAAAAGAGAGAGAGAAAGAAATTGTACTTCGTCAAAATTTTAAAGTTCTGTGTATCAAAGGACACAATCGAGAAAGTTAAGACAACCCACAGAATGGGAGAAAATATTTGTAAATCTAAATTGTGTGTGCACGTGTGTGTATGTATACAGGGTGGGGCAAAAGTAGGTTCACAGTTGTGAATACATTAAAGTTTATTTTTGTATTATTAATTATTGTACTATTTTCCAAATGAAAACTGTAAACCTACTTTTTGCCCACCCTGTATATAATTTTTAATATTTTTAAAATCGATTTCGGAGAGGAAGGAAGAGGGAGAAAGGGATCGAAACATCAATGAGAATCATTGATCTGCTGCCTCCTGCACGCCCCCTACTGGGGATCAAGCCCGAAACCTGGGCATGTGTTCTGACTGGGAATCAAACCGGTAACCTCCTGGTGCTTGGGTCAGTGCTCAACCACTGAGCCACACAGGCCAGGCGTATATGATTTTTTGTATGTTATGTTGCATCATAAAAAAGCATTCTAGATAGGAGATCCCCTCTCTGAGAAGCCAGTTCTTACAGATGGCAAAGGGCCCAGCCAGGAGCATGTCTTTGATATGCAAACTAACCAATCCAGAGCTACACCTCCAGTGTCTGGCTCTGCACCCCAGGAAGCTATCATTTCTCTACCTTAATCACCCCAGGGCCAGTTACCAGGCAACTGAAGGCCACCCACATTTATTCAAACTAGCCAACCCTAATCTGCTTGCCTCGCCCTCCCTCGCCTTTCCCTCAGACCCCCCAATAAAGGCCATTCCTAAGTACTCCCCCAGGCTCCTGACCACCCTGGCATCTTTCCCATGTGACCCTGTGTGTGCAGTGCCCCCCGTCGCTAGGACATTTGAGTATAATAAATTGTTTTTCTGAGCCTCTATTGTGTTTCCTTTTGTGGCTGCACCTGTCAGTAAACCAAAATTAATTTTAGACTGTAATAAAGAAAAGCATTTATGTGAGCAAAAGGAGTTGCCGCGTGGAGACAGATTCAAGTAACAACCTAAATTGTGCTCCACCAAGACAAAGGGGTGGGCCACCTTTTATAGCAAAAGTTCCCGCCCAGGTTCTGAATTAGGTCAGTTTTTTTTGCAAATGAGGTATCCAAATTGTACAGTTCTAATTGGAGGGCAGGTCTCGGTCCGTTGGTAGAAAAATGAAACCAGGGTTTCCCTGCAGTGGTTGATGCAAGCAGGTCATAGTGTGGGAAGCCAAGAGTTCAGTCTGAGGTTCTTCCTGGTATACAGAGAATGTGAGACGCCCCTGACAAAGAACCCTTAGACTCTTACCATGCATAAAATTTGGGCCTTCAGTTTAAAGCAGGTTAGTAGAAAGCTAGGAAAATTCCCTGGCAAGTGGAATGGGGAAACTGAGACAGTTAAACAAACATCCGAGCAATTAACAGCCAGCTAATAAATCACAAGACCCCATCCACCCTAACCAAGTGTTACTGGAAAGGGACCAGGACCAAGGCAGGTCTGCCCTGGCACAATCTGTGATGTGTGGGTTCTTGACTTCATGCAGGGAAGATTTCATGAAATGAGTCCAGGTAGTTTTGAGAGTACGTTTATTAAAGCTGGGGGCAGTGAAACAAAGCAAGGGCTTGAGATGGAAGAGGCAAGATCTTAGCAACAGGAATGAGCCTAGGTAGAGCTGCCTTGGCCCTTCGGAAACATGAGGAAGAGCCAGGCCTAGGCAAGGCTGCCTCAGCCCTTGAGAAAGGAAATCACAGAGGCAGAAGGGACCCATGCTGGGTGGCATGGACTCAGGAAACAAGTTAGAGGCAAAAGGAGGGACCTTGGAGACAGGTTCAGGGAGTTAGCCTGAGATGAGTTGTCGCTGCTCACTGCTCCCCCAGGTTGCAAGTCTCCTGGGAACCTTTAGAGCTTAAGAAAAAGAAAGCAAAGATACATGCCTGAGGAAAGAGGGGGGATGAAGGCACAGGCCTGCTCAAGGGAGAGAGTGTGCTGGGTCCTTTGATATGCTGATGCA